AAGTCCCAAACCCAAGCCCTGAACGACTCCTCGCTCGAGTGACCTGCTCAACCGCTTCGACCCCTTCACGCTGACAACACTGAACGATACTTTAGGGTTTAGGGTTTAGGGTTTAGGGTTTAGGGTTTCTTAATCAGGTTTCTACATAAGTCGTATACCGGCAGGTAGGGTTTAGGGTGTAGGCTCTCATTATCTTGTGTGTTAGAGTTTGCACTGCTCCTGCGCACTGTGCATAGAAGCCCCCTAAACTGTTCTACCCATAGGCTCCATCGTAGTTCCTTTTTGTGGCTTATATTTAGGATCCATTAATTAGGTAATCCCAAAAAGGAACTGCTATGGGGCCTATGGGTATCTTCACAAAGTATCCCTAAGCACTAAGACCCTATAAACAAGCCCCCAAACCCTAAAGCCCTAAACCGTAAAGCCCTCAGCTCAAAAGCCCTAAACGCTGAAACCCTACACTCTGAGGCCTTAAACCCTATAGCCCCAAAGTCTAAAGCCCTAAACCCCAAAGCCTTACCCAAGGCCTCAAAATAGCCCAAACGTCTTCAACACTAGTATGGCCTGGCGCACTCGAGCCTGCAGTGCAAAACCCTATACCCGTAATTATCCTAACAGCCTCACCTGCGGACTCCAAACCGCCCCAAGTGGGGTTTATACTTTAAACTTGGAACTCCAAAGTAGGCATTATTTGCATATTTGGAGCCTCAGGAGGCGCTCAACACTCAAAGAGAAGGGGACCCGTGACACCTCTGTCAACTTAAATTCGAGAACCCTCAACAAGAACCTCTTAGGAAACGCTCCAACCGAGCCGCTTCGAGTCTTGTGAGCTGTTGGCCTGGAAACCCTCAGAAAGAACCCTTTAAGCCTTTTAGAGCGTTATCGGGACTTTGGATAACCCTCAACCCCTGGAAACCAGCAAGAAGCCAACCCCCTAAACCCAAAACCCGAAACCCTCAACCCCAAACCCTAAACCCTAAACCCTTATGGGCTTTATGGAACCAAAGCCAGTTCAGCCCCTGGGAGCCCGACCTGTGCCAGCTCTTCCTCGAGCTTCCTCTGTCGCTCCTGTGGGACTCAGCTACAACAATCTTAGGGGTTACGGTTTAGGGTTTAGGGTTTAGGGTTTAGGGCTTAGGGCTTGGGGTTTAGGGTTTAGGGTTTAAGTCTCTACATTAGCTGTAGGGGTTTGAGGCTTTTTGGTGGTTTCGGCCCAGAAAACCTTTGATTTCAGAATTTAGGGATTTTGGGGTAGAGGATGGTTGAGGGCTATGCCGGGTCTTCAACCAAAAGGTCTGCTACTATGACAACTAATCGGGCGATTGGGGTTTAGGATTTTTCTTGAATCACAAAAACTGATAGTGATACGGTTTTACACGGGCCTTATGAAGACATTGAAGGGTTGTAAAAGGGTTCTGAAAGGACCTATCCATTTCGCGGTCTTAAACCACAAAGGCTGCTTCAATGAGGGTTGCTACAAGGGTTTAGGCGGTTTATGAGTTCAGGATGAAAGGCTTTTTAGGGTTAAGGGCTTCACAGCTAAGAGGGTTACCTGTTCATAAGATTAGCAGTTGAAGTCAGCCCATGGAATCTAATCAAGCACGCTGACCAATTCAAGATAGGGTTTGTAGTAGTCTGCACTGGCTCCACTACATCTATATCAGAAATCCGCAAACCATATGCAAGTTACCAAGGCCCATAGAAGCAAGCCAGGGTTAATTAAGGGCTTAGGGCCACACCTCCATACTTACCCTGTGTTGTCCCGATGCAATGAAACTCTCGACCTTGCCATGAATCGGCAAGCCGACTGGCCTGAATGAATACACCCCAAACCTAAACTCTAAACCCAGAAACCCTGACCTCAAAACCAAACTCCTAAACCCCCTAAAACCCTAAACCCCAGAACGGCGGTCCTTCGCGGCGGCAATCAAACTTCTCATCTCGCTCGCCTTCCAGCCAGCTGTCTGAACTTTCGGTTTTTTTGAAAGTGTGATGACCCTTTCTCTCCGCCTCAGGTCACCCTTTCGGGCGCACACTCGCGGGTTTAGGGTTTAGGGACAACAATTCAACGAAGTTTTACAGGGGTTATCAGGGCTTAGGAACAACCGTCTCCTCTCAAGTAGCATAGATTATGTAACACAATATGGCATTCCCTATGACGATGTTCTAGTTCGTGGCAAATGAAGCCCCTATTCAGGCATCTATACTGCAGGAAGTTCTCCAAATCTCCCAACACCGCACACTCCCGCAACCCCGAAGCCCGATTCCAAATGTTTAGCGCTGGAACTAAGAACAACAGTAATAACAGCAATAAGAACAACAACAATAATAACTATCATTAGAATCATATTGAACTAGACATGACAATGATAGTGTTTGAGGGAGTAAGGCCATAAGAAAGGGTAGGAAGGAGGTACATGAGAAACGCCTGCTGCAGAGAACGGGTCTCTTAACGGAAATACCAGAAATACCGTGCTTATCCTTGTTATACCCCAAAACCCTAAACCATAAATTATTAACAGAGATGGATTCATGAATTCGGGGTTTGCAAAGTCCTCATGTGAATCCTGTCATGCTCGCTAAGATCCCCTACACTCCTCAAACCCTCAACCCTAAACCCTAGACTCTGCGCCCTTAAGCCCCAAAGCTTCAATCCCAAACCATACAAGCCTCATACTTAATTTAGGGTTTAGGGATTAGGGATTAAAGCCCTAAGCCTATTGTCGGACCTGAGCTCGGAAAATGCAAGTTACGTCTCCTTCCTGTAACGGTCTAAGAAGAGATTCGGGGTTACCTGTAGCCGAAAGGACCTACCTTTTCAGTGGTTCCTTATTTGTGGTTTCTTTGTATAGCTCCTTGAAAGGTAGGGCTTTGGGGCCACAGGTCGGGTTTAGGGTTTAGGGCTTTGGGGCTTAGGAAGAACAGGTTGCCTAGAATCTGAAGGGTAGAATCGGTGTAGTACCTGACCTTTCCTGGATAACCTACCTCTTCATCAGGGTCCGGTAATAAGGGGTTCCATGGCAAATTTTAGGGGGCAACATTCGCCTGCTGCATGAATTCATCGTCCTCCGCATCATTCTTCTCCTTCAAGGGCCAACAGGCATTTCAGAAGGGCAGGTGGACGAGGTCTAGGCAAAGGCCCAAACTAAATCCTAAGTCCCTGAAGTGCATCTTCATCTAAAACCTCTCAAGCCCTAAATCCTAAACCCCGAAAGCCCTGTGGTTTGTAGCGAGACCCTCGCAACAAGAAAGGGTGAAGTAGGCTAAGGTAGGCTTTAAGGGGACGATGAATGCCCTTAACAAGTTCGCGCGCCTATGGCCGAAGCCACCAAAGCGATCGATCCTCAAACCGTGACGTCCTATCACCTCCATAATTTCAAGTCAAATCCCTACTAAGCCACCCGGCCGGAGTTCAAAAATCTCGGTAGAAAACGCACAAGATAGCGTGAGAGAGGGAGATAATGAAGACTAACTTAAGGAGAGGGAGAGAATGAAGACTGACTTAACAAAAACAACACAAACAAAATAAGCATCGCACATGTCCCTAAATCAACACTCCTCAACCTCAAAGCGAAGAATTGAGCCCCAACATCCCCTACCTGCCGCCTTACCGCCTATATCCGATAGGGGCCCTTAAAAAATCGAATAGGGTTTTGGGGTATCTTATACTATCATGATATTCAGGATGCCCCAAAATAGTATATAGAGGTACTTTTTTTCATTACATACAAGAGCTCTGAGCTCTAAGCCCTCAACACCCGGAACCATTCCGGAATCCCGGTAAGCCATGGCAGAAAACTCGTACATAGAATCCTAAACCCTACCCTAACCCTCCAAGTACCTACTATAAAGGGCCGTAGAAGCTCTCGTATCCTCTATAGTAGGTACGTCTCAAACCATCAGGAAACTCATGCAGAGCCCTATACAACTCCACACAACCCTGATAAAGACCTACAAAACAGTTCTAAAAAATATGAAACCCTGAGCCCAACACCTAAACCTAAACCCTAACACCCTAGAACCCTAAACCCTGAAGGCCTAAAGCCATAAACCCTAAAGGCCTAGAGCCCTAAAGCCCTAAACCCTACAGGCCTAGAGCCCTAAACCCCGAAACCCGAACGGCCTAGAGCCCTAAACCCTAAACCCCAAACCCTAAAGCCCTAAACCCAACAGCCCTAAAGGACTAAACCCCTAAACCCCTAAACCCCTAAACCCTAAACCCTGAACCCTAAACACTAAACCCCTAAAGCCCTAAACCTGGGGCACCCACCGGCTCTCGTCGAAGCCTCGGTGCTTTTCTCGAGGTCGGCGCCTCTCACATTCGAGTTTGTTCGGGCCATAGCTGAACCTAGGGTTTAGGGTTTAAGGGTTTAGGGTTTAGGGCCGTTCTACTCACCCAATCGCTCCTATGTGCCGATATTATAAAATGTAGGGTCTCTGTATTAGGAAGTACTATTATGATTCAGGGAAGTATCGCCCAGAACAGTACGTAGAACCGCTTGGGTGAAATGGAGGGATAAAGTAAAGGTGGTTTCTCGGGTCCAGAAAAGTAGAGTGCTTCTTTAAGGGCTTTGTTCGCAGATTCCTTTAGCTCTATAGAGCTTTTTATAGCTGCAAAACAAACGGCATGAAAATTCACCATAAGGGTGCAGGAGGGACGCTGGGGTTTCAGAATATATCTTGAGTCTAGGACATCTTCAGGGGGGTAGTTACCGTTATAGGAGCCTTATAGAAGGTTAATATACCTTATGGAAGCCTTATAGAAGCCCTATATACCCTTAACTCCCCACCTGTAGTTTCCTTCAATTGAGATGGGGCGCCAGGGGTCGGGGGGGGGGGGGAGGGGGCCGTGTTTATGAGAAGATGAATGCAGCGGCCCTTCGAATTTCCCATGCTGTTTTGAGTTACAATGCTGTCTACCCGTAGGCCCCATAGTAGTTCCTTTCTGGGATTACCTAATGGGATCTGAAATATAAGCCACAAAACGGAACTACTGTGGGGCCTATGGGTAACTACAAGGGGGATCGGAGGCAGGGCTTTTGAGTGTAGAGTTTCAAGGATTTTCGGGTTTTGGTTCTCAGCGGGGTCTTCGTTGGCAAGAGAGGCCCCATAGTAGTTCCATTTTGTGGCTTACATTTAGGATCCCATTAGGTGATCCCCAAAAGGAACTACTATGGGGCCTATGGGGTTTCTTATACAATAACTATAGCAAGCAACCCTCAAACTAATATAGGTGCCTATTAAGGC